CACCCCCCCACCCACCTTGTTTCTGTACCGACAAAGTTAATTTCCTCAGCCTCAGTCAAACAATGTTTTCACTGGCTGCCACTGTTTAATTAAGAGGAGGTGTGCAACACATGAGCACGCACGCTCCGACTGTATTAAGGAGCTCCTCCGCGGGGACTTCATTCGTTTCGGGAGCCTCGCGTGGGCGGAAGAAGAGAAGGCGATACGTTCGCCAGAGAAATGTACAGTGCTCCACCAACACACGGATCACCCCCGAGGGAGTTGAGGCAAAGAATTCCTCCTGGAATTTTCTCTCTCTGTCTCTCGCTCTCTTGCTTTATTGCAACCCCCCCCCCTACCCCACGCTTTCTTCCCTTCTCATTTTGGTCATGGTAATTCATCATGGAATATCAAAACCGTTCAAAGCTGCCGCATAGAAATGAAGGCTCGGGAGCCTGTGAATAATTGGTTTCCGTGAGGTGCCGCCATACTTATTGAACCCTCTTGACTCCCTGTCCCGTGCAGTGGCAGCATGTATGATAAAGAGACAAGGAAATATTGTATTTCCTCTCTTTGACGACAATTTACTTTCCTCCTCTTGAACGTCCTTCCGGAAAGCAACATTGTGGAATAATTGACCTTGAGAATCAGTTGAGAATTGAAGCCAGGTGCTCAGACCTGAATAAACAACCTCTCCAAACCCCTCCAAAAAACAAAACACACACACAAAAAAAAAAAAAAAAAAGAAATGCATATTTTCCGTCAAGATGTCTTCGTCCGCCTTCGCTCACAATCAAGACAGTGTTGGACCTGAGAGATCCTCACTGACTCCAGAGCGCCAGCGGCTCGGAACACCATCTGTGAGAGCCTCGGAATCTTCCTGTTGCCTGGCACCGCCGCACGGATCACACTAAGCACTCCTGCACCAGCTCTTCCGGTCCACAGATCCGACTGACTGTGCAAGTCATGGCAATCCGGCCTCCGAATATTGCTGTGTTTACCAAGGGCATCATGGAGCTTAGTCTGGAAGCAAGAGCACTCATTCCTGTCAGTCACAGAGGCCTGGAAAGGACTATTCTTGTGCAATTGCATTTTTAGAGGTCCATACACACAAGGGCGTTTTCTATCTATCTATCTATCTATTTATCTGTCTGTCTGTCTGTCTGTCTGTCTGTCTGTCTAGCCAGCTATCGAGCTAGCCAGCGATCCCTCTAGCTAGCCAGCTATCCCTCTATCTATCTATCGCGCTAGCCATCTATCGAGCTAGACAGCTGTCGCTCTAGCTAGGCAGCTATCCCTCTAGCAATCTAGCTATCCCTCTTGCTAGCTAGCTGGCTCTCTATCTATCTATCTATCTATCTATCTATCTATCTATCTATCTATCTATCTATCTATCTATCTATCTATCTATCTATCTATCGAGCCATCTATCGAGCCAGCCAGCTCACTATCTATCCCTCTAGTTAGCTAGATATCACGCTAGCTAGCTATCCCCCCTCTCTCTCTCTCTCTCTCTCTCTCTCTCTCTCTCTCTCTCTCTCTCTCTCTCTGTCTCTCATCATTTTGAAATTGCGATTAACAAACAATTATTCATTGATTTCCAAAATTTGTATTTGTTCAGTTACCAAAAGGAAGTTGCGATTGAGCTGTATGCATATAATATAAAACAGTGTTTGTATTGCGACTAATTGTTATTTGAAGGAATATCACAGGACTCAATGCTAATTTTCTATTCACGTGTCAATGGGATTTTATATTGGCTGCGATATTGGTGGTGTTTCTAAAACAAAGTGTACCTTGTCAAATATGATGAGTGTAATTTGGTTTGTTGTGTGTTTAGTTTTACCGTAAATTCCAAGTGGGGTGTCGTTAAACAGCTGAAAGCATGCACGGGGAGCTGACCTAATGGTTTTTCTTTGATGAAAATGTTTTTACGATCGTGAGAAGCCAAAATCAAAGTCACAGTAACATTTCAATTAGCAGAAGCAAATTTGGCCGGGCGTTTTAGGCATCTGGGTTCCCAAATTGCTGCTCCTGTTGCCATTCTGACACTGCAGGCTGCTAATTGCATCACGCTCGCAAAACTATTCCTTGATGAGACCACTGCTGGTTTTGAGACTT